GACGTGAGCGGCTTGCCAGACCCCTACATGGATCAGCTCGACTGTGACGACAGCAAACCCCCTCACATCTCGCTCTCATTTGACGAGAGCCTCGAGAGCGGATACTCCACACCCAACTCTCGCACCCGACGTGTCATCCGCGAGATTATTGTGTGAATCTTCTGCGGTCGTGTCCATTTCTTGGGCCACAGAAATTCCAAGCGAGACCTGTCGGATGGTTGCCATGTTGGTTAACCGTAATAATTTGAAAGTGGCAGGATTTGAGACCGGATGCTGGAAGAACAGTAATCCCAGCGCGACAATTTGACATCGTCGCCCGTCGCTCATCTTTTCAACCTCGTTCCAAATGTGGGATCGCGCACGACGGAATCAAAGAAGTACAAGGAAAGTGAAGGAGGCAAAGAAGATGAGATTAGTTTTAAGCTATCAAGATTTCTTTTATTCTTAAGACCTACGGAGCATCGGTGTTAATGTTTTCGATGTGTCGTTTCTCGTCGTGGAACTTTTATGATGTGTGCTACTTCGCTGTAAGATGGGATCACGCATCTTCAGCTTCTTACATTACAAATAACACTGCCTGAATAAAATCATGTGACATCATTTTATCATCTCTCTCATTGTCATCTGTGACATTTTTATCGTGCGTTCATGTGAGTTGAGCGATGTACTTGCCGGAAGAGACCTGCGAAGGAGGACACGAATTACGCGGCTGAAATGTCTAGAAGGGACGAGAAACTTATTTCCAAGTGTGGAAAGTACGGAGTATGATGACTCGGAGATGAAAAGTCACTCCGAAAGGCCTGTATTTTGAAGACAGGATCCGCTGTGCGGCAAAGTAGATAAAGTGAGCGAAAGCTCTATCAGTGCTTAAAAGTTCCCTTAAAATAAAGCGCGAAGGCGGAATGTTTGGTTTTCGGGTCCCAGGATCGGACAGAAATTACCAGGATGTCGCACGCACTCGATGTCTGTCTCGTGCTTTGGTTCCGTTCAAAACCGAGAGTCGCAGAAATTTTGGTTCTCTCTAAAACCGAGAGTCGCAGAAATTTTGGTTTCTTAGCTTCTCTCCGTCCACGCGCCGAACAGATTTTTGTGGCGCTGATATTGGGAAGTTTTTTTCTAAAATTTTGTCGGCGCGTCATAGTTTGGTTTAAATCTGGCAGCAATAATTGATACTTTACTAAAGACTCACATGACTGGGTGGGGAATCACCACGGTACCTTCTTCAATGTCGTTGCCTGGGGGATCCCCCAGCCACTCGGCGAACTCTGATATTACTGGCGGAATTTACATAAAAAAAATTTTTTTGACTGAATATCTCGGCGTTACAAATTTTGGTGAATTATCTTTAAAAAAAATCTTAAATTTTTGTGGGATGTCGACTGAGGTTTAGGAACTCCGTCTCTTTATCAGCGTCTCTCTCGAACAGCGCAGCGTGAAACTGACAACGCGACTCCATCTAGTGCCAGGGTTAAGAAAGTCCGAATGCACGATATTTTTGGACAGCAAAATCTTTGTCTGTCTCCTTTCATTTAAGTTCTGGACCCCCCCTTAATGTATTTTTGAATATATTTCGTAAATTTTTTGCGAGCAGAACCTCGTAGACTGATCCGATTGGTCGACGTCGTCCTTTAAGAACAAATGAAGAGTGGCGGTAGATGGAGGAGATCGGCCAGTTTCGTGCCGTGACGAGTTTACGCGCAGGAGAAATTGCTTCGACACCCGTCGGGTCCAGTGGCCATGAAAATTTACGTCTCCGTTGATGACGAAAATTTAATCGTGATTCTCCGAGTCAGTGTATTTAATGATGGTTTATCAAGCGTAAAGGTTATGTAGTGCCAAAGGAAAAGATACTTATGAAATATTAATTAGGAAGAAATTAAAACTCCAGGTCGGGATATGAGCCGAGGACCTCAGGAGTGATGACTGATTAATCGTTGTTGACGTAGAACTGGGAAATGGTTACTGTTTGTTATTTTATATCAAGTGAAATATGAATAATTTCTTGTTTTTTGAACAGAACATTTCGTATAAATGTGCCATCACTTGAAAATGAATTCGGCCCTCAAATGTAGGGACGAAACGGCGCAAATTTCTTGCTGTTTTGAGTCGTACGTCTTTTGAAAGGGTTATGATTCGTGTTAACCGATGAAAATGCTCAAGTGCGTCGTTGGACGCGCGCCGGAGAACGGAAGTAGGGGAGGAATCCACGTAACATTTTACCGAACGCCTTGAATCTCCTGAACGCCACGTTCGGTGGCTTCAATAACGTAAATTCTGTCGTAACGAAGAACAGCGTAGTCTTAAAGTCTACGTTTAATATCCGAGGATCATTTAGAAAACATCAAAAAAAAAAAAAAAAGGAATAAAGATTAATTATTTTTTAGCAATCCTGACGTCAGTTTAAATATTATAATTCGCTTCTTACGTCTTGAGTTATTGCGCGACTTGAAACTGATGCCGATTTCGCGATGTTTGCGATGTCGTCATTATTTAAACTCGGCGTCATAATTATTTTGTAATTTTAAGGATTAGTCAATATATATTTTTTTTTTAATAGAATGTGCTCCGATGTCGTTGCTGTTATAACAAAAGTTTAGATTCACGTGTAATTTAATGACGCGCGAAATGTTTTGACCCAAAGACGTTTTTGTTCCGATATCTTGCAGATCCCCGAACCTAACCTCAAATTACTTCGTGTTAGTACGACAGCGCTTTTGAAATTCTATTAAATTCTCCGACAAGATTTTTTTACGAAATGTTCACTGGATTCCTCTTAAAGGCGAATGTAATTTATAGTTTTGTGTATTTGCTGGAAGTTGTGCACTTTTGATATATATATAAATAAATAAATAAATAAAATGGGATCAAAGAATATTGCCCACCGTCCAATATAATTTTCCTTCGTAGTTTGGTTTCAGATTAACATAAACTTTTATTTTGAGGGGAAAAAGGTTATTACGTGATCTCAATGTAATGAATGTACATTAAAAGAGACATCTTTTTTTTTTTTTTTGCTGTGTAACAAAGACGTCGTAAAATGTATATTGAATAAAGTTTTAGTGTGTAAATTAGCATTAATTGAAATATTGAAGGTCTCGATACTTAAATTTGTTGATGTATTTTCTTGTAAAGTGAACGAAAATAAACTAACTTTTTTCTGTGACTGTCTCCTACTTAAAAAAAAACTCTTATGTAAATATATTTGAAACTGAAACCATTTATTTTGTACAAAAGGAAGGAGTGACTGTCCAATAAAGATTTACGTGTAATATAAATGTATTTTATTTAAGAAGATGATACATTGTCCCTTTTTTCACGATTTTGAGGTTATGTAGCGCAGTTTTGCTTACTGATGGCGTCAAAATAATTTGCGCTAATGCCATGTTTTGTATTTTTCTAAAAAGTGTTACAAATTGAGTTGAAAATCTTTCGTCACGCAGTTATTTAATAACTTTCGTAACAAAAACGTTCAGAAGGTAAGACTTTCATGTTCCCATAGCAGCGAGTTTGACGTTTGGCTGTCTCCAGGGATGTCGCACCACGTAGACGTTCGTTGAACATTTCGGAGGTGCTTACTGCCTCCATCATCAGGGCAGTAGTGGAACGTAAGTAAATATCTACCAGACCACGTGACACGACATCCCACAAGACATATTTTCCATGTTATTGTACGTGGAAGTTATTTTTCCCGATTCGTGCTTTCATGTTTATTCGCTTAGAAGATTAAATTAGAAGTTTAACTCTTGTGTTGATTCGCCACAGGTGGAATTCATTTAGCCAGAGCGCTCGTGATAGAAATGTTCCGTAACAGCTCTTAATTTTAATATTAAACATCAAAAATATCTTTTCTGCTTCGTCACAGATGCGTCAGTTAGGGTTTACTATTTGAATATTTTTAAATTCGTCCTCTTTTTTTCAAATGTAACGAGAAAATAGTTGAACGTCAGAGAACAGAAAGATCTCAGGTGTGAAGAGGCGAGGAGGCAGTGTTACATCTTACGTAATTTACGGCACATTAGGAGTTTGCACGTAATTAGGCCGCGGGGTGATAATAACTAACAGTTCTTGCAAGTTGTTTGCTTAACTTAACACCCGATTTCAAGCGACAAACAGTCCCGTCTGAGTGTCGCAGGTACCAGGAACGGCTAGAGGTAAGGCGGCTTCATTACCATCGTCACAGCGCAAAATCTACTTATTAAATGCTTATAGTTGCTTAACTGTTCAAGAAATGTCCCGCTTTCTAAATTTCTGGAATTCACTTAATATTTTTCGGCTTTGTAATCCGTGAATATAAGCCTAAATATCAATTGCTCAGGAGTTCAGCGTTTTTCTGAGTGACCTTTAAGAGAGATCTTTTATGTATACCACATTAACATTTCCCATCAGCTCGAGAAAAAAGATAACTTAAATGTCTTACGAGTAGACGCTTTATCTAAGCGTGCTACTTTCATGACTTCAATGTTAATCGAATGGTAACTATACGTACCACTTCAGCAATCAGTAATTTTTAATTTTTCCTACTGAGTGATGTCTTACGTATTATTATCAATATATGGCGATTATTTTCCTAGACAGAATTAATCCCTTCGTGGTTGTCATGGAAATATGTTGTTTTCTTTCACGTACGGACTGAATGTTTTGGAAGAGCTTAAAACACTAACTCAGCAGCGTCAGGGCTTTCGTGCGCATCCAAATTTCATGTTTCACTGCATGTCTCTGATGCAACCCTCCCCAATATTAATATGAAAAGGTTCTCACATTTCTCCTATCGGTTCATCCCTCTTAAGTCAAAATATCCTCCTTTAAATGGCCTCAAGACTGTAATCCTCCCTTACGAAAGAACTGTGGATGGTTCTCATGAACGCTGTTATAAGTTGACAGACATTTATAAAAAGACGCACTGACATTCTCATACACAGACGAGTTTCTTATTGCTACATTACGCTACATTTAATTTTCATGACTCATGCGTGACGTCACTATCAAACAGCTGTTAATTACATTACCACTGTCTTGGGTCAACATCGCTTTCCACTTTGGACGACTGTTTTGTGAGGACATACAGAGAACTATGCACTGGTAAGAGCTTCGGTTTTACAGTTGAAATTCATTATCAAGGCTCAAAGTCTTGTGTGCTTATTTGCGTAATACGCAGTACGTATTTCATATCTTTACGATTAACCATATGAAGCCCAGTGGTAACTTTATGTACCATTTCCCTGCAACAATAAGTATTTTACCCGCAGAGTATTTATGGTTTTCGAATGATTCTCACTGTAAACAGCGATTATTTCCTTAAACAGCGTTAACCAGTTGATCTTTGTAATGGTGAAGGGTGGTGTTTTCTTCGCGGTACGGGCTAAATGTTTATATATTATGTACGCAGTGCGTGTCTCATTATAAACAGCGATTATTTCCTTAAACAGCGTTAACCAGTTGATCTTTGTAATGGTGAAGTGTAGTGTTTTCTTCGCGGTACGGACTGAATTCTTATATATTCAGACGAGATTTTTAAATAATACCGTCACAAGAAGGTGGAATTTTTATCTGTCTCTTTGTTTGTTTGTTTGTTCGTGTGTTGTAAACTCTGATCGCCACCAAAGACTCGAAACTTCTGAGACTACGTGGAAAAGTCTGATAATTCATGATTTCTTTTTCCTTTTACATTCACAAACGAAATTATATTAAATTCTGTTTCTTATTACATAAACTGAAGTTAAGACTACATTTCCGTATTCTTAAGCTTCAAATATTTACATAAATCAGAATACGATGTTGTCTAGAAGGTAGTGATTTATTTATATTTTTCCTTGTCTTGGCGGTGACGAGCCCGTGTCTCCATGACGTACGAAACGACGTTTAACACCTGGATGAGTCGTTTAAAAGGGACGCCTTTTCATAATTTAGCTACTTTCAAATGTTAGTAAACATTCACCTGCGAAATGCTGTATTGATCTGTATGTCAGTGTTCGTACCTTCTGTTTGCAGGCGTCGCCGTCTAGATGGAGACAGCGCCAGGCGTCACGGACTCCAGCGTCTGCGCTGACGTCGTTAATAAACGTCGCAGTGTAATTTCCGTGACGGAGTCTCCGTGTTACATCGAAGGTCGCCACAAGAAGAAAGTAAGAACAGTCGAAGACAAATTTGTAGGTTACTATAACGACATTGACTCTGAAAGTGAAGGTGAGTGGACGGGAGAGCCTGAGGAAAACGCCTCTGGTTGTCAAGGCAACGCCCAGTGCCAGGAACAAGTGAACGAAACATTCGATATTGAAGATGGCGGTGGTAAATCTTGGCGATTGCATGAACCATTTGATCTGTGGCAGGTGAGAAAATCACGTAACGCCACTGGCGGAACTGAAAACGCGAGCGACGTTTTTGATCGTAAATGTAGTAGTAGTAGTAGTAGTAACGAGAATGTCTTAGACGTAGTGTGTTCTGACAATTCCAGCATCGAATCTGCCTTCTCTAAGTGTCGTGTGTCAAACGCAAATATTGCCTCAAGTCTATCTAATCAAGATGTTTATCATTCTGGATGTGACATCGATGTTTCGGACGGTAAAACAAACAAAGACGTCAGGACAGTTCAAGGAACGGAGAATCACGAGGTTAAACCGGCCCCATACAATTTCAGGTCATTTGTGTTAGGACCAATCACAAGTTTGCTTCAGTTCTCTTTCAAACGCGTTTATCCTCATTCGTTACCCGCAGTTGCGTCGGGTTGGAACTCTGAAAACATGGGTAATTTACAAGGTTCAGAAGGTAAAGGCAAAGGAGGTTCAGGTAAGAGTCCTGGGAAAGGTAAGAAGGACAAAAGTGGTAAGAAATCTCCGGCTAAGGACCTCCTGAAACACAAATCACCAGCACCAGAACCTCCGTCAAAGAGTGGGGGAGGAAGTCAGGTACAATACAAAGTAGTTCCTCCGCAGGGCAACGTTCCGGCAGTGCGCGGTCATGCCTCAAATAACGGGGCTCCGTGGTCGGAACAGTCGACTCTCCGCAGCGGAGACACCACCACGTACGTAGTGACGGATTCCTGGCGTCACGTGAAGAAACTGGCCATCAGGACGCCGGCGAGTAACAGCACGACGGTCCTGACGCCACCCAGCAGAGACTCGAGCTCAGAATCCGTGTTTACAGACCCACTGACCCCTCAAGGTTTCGCTGACGCACAGAATAACAGCAGTCTTACCAGTAGCAGCAATTATTCTGACCCGTGCGGTACAGAGCAAGCCGTCATTAGACTCGCCCCGAATTCAACGGGGTATTTCCAGACGCCTTCCGTCGTCAACGGTACTGATGACAGCGTCTACACGTCCCTCAACAGTGACGCCGGTGGAATGGTGGGCAGTGACAAGGACAGAAGGGGTGGATCTTCGCCTTTGTCGACCACCGATTTGGATGACGTAACGTTAACCCTGTTGGACAGCACGGAACAGTTGACTGACGGTGAAGATTTTGGTGGGACGGAGTTATTGACGTCAGTGCAGAAGAGGTCTCAGTCTCACAGCCTTGACGCGTTGGACGAGGAAGAAAATGTTGAAGGTAGTGATAAGAAGGCGAAGTCTCTCGACGCCCTGGAGATGGCGGCCGGGAATGGGGTTCTGCCTCATACGAGGACTACTCAACCCCCGTCTTCCTTCACCCTGGTGAGACACCGGAAGGTGGAGCTGAACCCCACACGCCTCAGTGAACATTGCCTCGTGCCCGCAGGTGAGCACTGTCTTTTGTTCCGGGGGGAGAATTGGTCTAGAAGTAAACACCGATAAAAAATGTCACTGAACTCGGGGTCTGAGACGAAAATCTTAAAATGGGGCATCGGTCAAATGATCTAGAAACTGATAAACAATTTGTAACTGTTGTAAAAAAGATATCAGTGTTCGTTGAATTCACGTGCGTCTATGAATCATTAAATTCTTTGAAATAAGAACTACGAATAGAAACAGACTTATGACTAAATTCGGACAAGGATAAATACAGAAAATGTCAGTACTCAGTAAAGAAGATTCAACCCACTTACCTTCCAAAACGCTGAAGAATGTTTTATAGTAACTTTGGTATTTGTTATTTATTATTTTAGGGATCTGAAACGTTATATATGCCGAGGGGAAAAACTTTACTTTAGAAATGCCCATAAAATTTTTGAAGTCCACGTGCATAATTTTGGGCGTCGCGTAACAAAGATCCTGTTGTCTTACACAGATCACGTGACAGGTAGTCGAAGAGGTGAAGATTGGGCAGGCATGTAGATAGTGATCAATAAATATATGTCTGCCTCCGTGTTCAGGGATGAAGCACTTTCTTCCAGAACGTTGCAGACATGAAATTACGAATCTAACACGCCAACCCATAAACCAATTTGAATTTTGTTATAGGATTATAAACAACCAAAACGTAACATTAAGACATCAGACTTCATTATGAAAGAATGCTTTGTGAATTCTTACCAGAAAAAGGTTTTTTAAGATAAGGAATAAACAAATTTAGTGCAGATGTTGCCGACTAAGCCACCGTTGTAGGTTTGTCGTGACGCGATACGGAAGGGCATGTAGACTTACTGAGTACAAATAAAACCTCATCTTGTACGCTGAAGGAATTGGCTGTTAATAGTTACTAACTTGTAGACAAAGTTAATTTACAGTAACGCTCTAACCACTGTAACTAAGTCTTTCAGATATACGAAATTGCTTCCTACATGAGCATGTCTGTTTACCACATTCCGGATTCATACCACAACAAAATTAAACGACTGAAGGCATTTACCTTAAACTCTTTACCCTAAAGTCTCATAAGATTCCTTGTTCCTGCAACTTTAAACAGCATCCAATGTAGTTATTGATGCACCATAAGACAATATCGTAGATTGATTAATTTATTGTTATTAGTTATGTACATAGTTAAGCTAATTACCATGGATAGGTACATTTATATACTAACACGTTGTTAGTTAAGTAGAAAATTGTTTGAACACGTGACCGCCGATAGGAAATGAGACGCCCCTTTGTGCACAGTGAATACTAGACCGCTAAACTCACAACGCATTCATGACAAATAACAAACGCGTAGAGTTCTTCAGCTGTCATTTAGAAGAATAATTTGTCATGTTGGTGCCCATGAGGTTTGTAGATCCTTTGACCATCTGAAGCCCGAAAATCGTCTGAATATTATATAAGAATCCAGCCCGTACCGCGAAGAAAACACCACACTTCACCATTACAAAGATCAACTGGTTAACGCTGTTTAAGGAAATAATTGCTGTTTATAATGAGACACGCACTGCGTACATAATATTTAAACATTTAGTCCGTACCGCGTAGAAAACACAACTCTTCACCATTACAAAATATCGATTGGTTAACGCTGTTTAAGAAACTAATCGCTGTTTATTCAGAGAATCGTAGTAATTGGCTGTCTTTAAGTTCTTTATAGGGATTTTAATATATTAGTTACCAATTATAGTGCAAACTGGGTAGTTGAAAAAGTTAAATAAACCAATAATTAACAAATTAAATAATACCAGACAGTTTCTTAATCAGCTGCATGGGGTAATTGCCGATTGTCACAGAAAATTAACAATTTTTTTTAAAAAAAAAAAACTTTCGGTGTCAGTTAGTCAGCTGTTTACCATCAGCACCATCTACTGTGAACAAACGTGACTAATCACCATTGTTCTTGACAGTAGTGGAGTGGGAGTTATAAAATTTCTATTTTTACACAGTTTCCCTTCGAAAGACCTTCAATTTGAGCCAGACAGCGTTGTAATTATTCGTAACGCAGCGTAAACATTCGCATTCCGATAATTGTTTCCGGTCGACCGTTCGTTCTGATGGTTTCTTCGTGTTCTTGACGTGGCTGTATCCCGTCATTAAACAGAGGCAGGTCCTTTGAAAACTTCCGAAGATTAAAGCTCCGATCTAGAAAATCACTGAATCGATCTTTCGAAATAACTTATTTGGGTGTAGTGAATTGAATCAATGAAATGTACGTACGTACTCCAGGCTCTTGATAGTTTGAGACCTGAGTACCTTTTTGGAGCCTTTATATCATCAGTGAGGTGATTCTGAGGATTCTTGTTCGTTGGAATGAGACATACGTACGAAGCGGTAGACAGACAGACAGACAGACAGACGCTAGGGTCACGTTAATCCAGTCATTGCTGGCCGTTGCTCTCCTCTGCTCTGGCTGGCTGGCGAGGTGGTACATCCGTAGATGTGTGCAGCCTCCCGCGCAATCCTACGCCACAGTTTCATTAACCTGTTCAACGTATCACTTGCCTACTTAGCTTCACGGAAATGGGCCCCTTCTTAAGAAGCTTGTAGTGCCCCGTCATGTACGAAACCTGAAGGTTCAATATCGTGTTCGCAACACACCGCCACTTGAGCCAGATTAACCCAATCCACACCCTCCAAACATCCACCTTGATTCGATTACCCTAACAGTTGAGGATTACAAATTATGAAGATTTCTTTACTCTCCTGTCAACTGCGTCTCTCTTAGGTCCAAATATTCTCTTCAACACCCGTTTCTAGGACACCCTAAATTTGCATTGTTCCCTTAATGCGAGAGAACAGGTTTTACAAACATACAAAACAGCAGGTAAAATTCATTCTTTACGTTTTTAGAATACAGACACGAAGGCAAAAGATTATGAGCTACGATAATTAATTATTATATTATTTAGTTAGTTACAAGTGGAAAATATCGTAATAATAATTTAACCTGTGGAAATTAAGTAGCCTATCAGAGGCAGTCTTCCAAAAGTACAATAGGCCAATAGATCCATCCTTCAAAAATGCATAGACTTCTAAGTCTTTAATTATATTAAGACTCTTTAAAACACAATTTCAGGGCTGCTAAGTTACTTTAACTCTTTCACCTCGGTCGTACTCAGGCCGCGGTATTTCGCGTTGTTCCCACGGACGGGCTCTGGTTATTACGAGGATCCGGTACAAAGGGAAGGAGACCCGCGTTCTGGGGCTATCTGCTGCACGAGAGGGCTTTGTTCCGGAAGAGAGGATATACAGGATGTTGCAGTTCGTGGCCCGAAACATTCACTGCCTTCTCAAGGTCACAGTCCCTGAGACAGGTAGACTTTTTTGTGTAGGCAAACATTTCTATTGGCCTAAATGAAGGTAACGTTTAAATCGGTAATCGGTCGTGTGTGTAGCCAAGCGTTGAAATTCCCCGATCGCTGTTTCCTCGATTTTGTTTATGAGCATTGTGCAGCTAATACGCAGACAGCGTGATTCTACTAATCGTTCATAAAGTGTCTAAATAATATTTAAGAATCCAGTCCGTACCGCGAAGAAAACACAACTCTTAACCATTACAAAGATCGAAAATAATATTTTAAGAATCCAGTCCGTACCGCGAAGAAAACACAACTCTTAACCATTACAAAGATCGAAAATAATATTTTAAGAATCCAGTCCGTACCGCGAAGAAAACACAACTCTTAACCATTACAAAGATCGAAAATAATATTTTAAGAATCCAGTCCGTACCGCGAAGAAAACACAACTCTTAACCATTACAAAGATCGAAAATAATATTTTAAGAATCCAGTCCGTACCGCGAAGAAAACACAACTCTTAACCATTACAAAGATCGAAAATAATATTTTAAAAATCCAGTCCGTACCGCGAAGAAAACATCACACTTCACCATTACAAAAATCAACTCGTTAACGCTGCTTAAGGAAATAATCGCTGTTTACAGTGAGAATCATAGCAAAGACGCGAAATCACTCACGAAAAGGAAGTTTACGAAGGCCAGTTTTGTCGGGGGTGGGGGGGGGGGCTTCTGTCAAACACGCCTTGCTTGATAATTCGTTTAATTACAATGAACTAGCAGATGCAGATCCCCAATCCAGGGCACCTGTTCTGCTTTGTTCCCGCTGCGGTCTAACTGCTGCAGCTTTCGTCTCGCAAAACCGAGGAACGGGAGATTCTCCCCCTGTCAAAGTGTTCATTTAAAGGAATGGGAAACTGTCAGACTGTCGTGAAAAGTGTCAGAACCGGAGTGGCTCGTCTCAGCCAGTGTTGTCGTCAGAGGGGTGCGTTCACATCGCCCAGCCAATCACTTCCTTCAGTTCAATTCATTTTAATTTTGATCTTGGTTTCATTTCCCCCGACCGTTGACGATACCTGTCATTCAAGCATTCCCTTAACTAACCGTTAAACACATGGCAGTGGTAATTATGCTTACCACTTGCTCTGACAACCAATAACTATGCATTTATATCGCAGTGTATTTATTGATTTTCGTATAATTCTCAGAATAAACAGCGATTATTTCCTTAAACAGCGTTAACGAGTTGATCTTCGTAATGGTGAAGTGTGGTGTTTACTTCGCGGTACGGACTGGATTCTTAAATACTATTTAGGCGAACGTCGTGCTTTTAAACATTAAGGAGTCGTTCTGTGATTTGGACCTCGGGAAATAATTCAGTTTATTTTTACACGGTAAGTCTGATAGTTAATCAGATAAGTAATTTATTTTGATGCTCGGTTACGTTCTCCCGCAGCGTCCACACAGCAGCAGGCCGATGCTCGGGACACGAGACGCCACTCCTCGGTGAGCGATGTTCTCCTGGACAGCAATGTACTTCGCAAAGTGGCCAGCCTCACCTTGGATAGAGCCACCATCGACCAGCGCGTGGCCAAGCCGAAGTTTGTACCAGAAAAATTGGATTTCCAGATATATGAGAAGTTTGAAGGTCAGTATTCTTTTCTTGTTCTAAAACAAAAATTCCGTCAAGATCATTGAACACGAAGATGCTTTATGGATCCCAGCAGATATTTTATTTGTCGAGAAGGAATTTGACACGATGAAGATAAGGACATTTATTGCCGTAATGAGAGTCTCTTATAAACACTGCGATAAGGAAGGCATAAAATTGCTTTCCCGTTGTGCGTCTTGTACCAGTCTGATTCAAGATTCACTGTGTCTTCTGATATCCGTGCAACTACAATGTGTTTGGTTAAAAGGGCCTTCCGTGAGGATGTGAGAACAGGACCAGATCAAAACCTGGAAAAATAATAGGTAACACGACAAGACTAGGAGACAACAAACGATCAGATACGTTCGCTTTATCGATTGTTCGATATCTCCTTCGAGACAACAAACGATCAGATACGTTCGCATTATCGATTGTTCGATATCTCCTTCGAGGCAACAAACGATATGTTCGTATTCTCGATTATTTATTCGAGACAACAAACGATCAGATACGTTCGCATTATCGATTGTTTATTCGATATCTCCTTCGAGACAACAAACGATATGCTCGTATTCTCGATTATTTATTCGAGACAACAAACGATTAGATTAATACGTTCAGTCATATTTTGAAAGCTAATATTTTCGTGGAAATTCGTTTGTAGCCTGATTTTTGAAAGTAAAATAGGATCGCGATATAAAAATGAATGGTTCTGTACAGCAGTTAATAGTTTTCACTTCGCGACCCACTTTTCTAAAGACTACGTTTGGTGACATATTTATTTCGTCTTTACGAAACGTAATTCAAAACAGCGAATACAGATCAAAGTTCACTCTCCAAATAAAAGTAACTTCATGGGATTATTTGTGCCACAGCGCGATGAACTATAGACGAATCACGTTATTGAAACAACTGAAGCCAACGTAGTGTCCAAATCCCTCAATGAAACGAATTGTTGAAAATCGACTGTACTGTATTTAATGAAAGTATTCACGAGACGCGTCGTCCATTTCATGCTCGACCAAAGACGTGTGTGGCAGAGAGAAGCATGAAATCATTGCTGTACGAGGAAGTCTGTGTCTCAAGTCCCTATATGTTGACATCTGCCGTGTTTGTGTTTGTTGTCGGGTGGAGCAACTACGCAGTTCGGGGCCTCCGATAACGCACCAAATAAGAAATCCCCCCCACCCACACACTTTGCACGTGCAAGTATAGTCAGATGAGAATGAATCTCTAGGAACATAGTTCTTCATTGGACATTTTTTTTTTTTTTTTACAATACTCGCTTACATGCTCAAGAAATTTCCCACTTTTTAGGCGTTCTTCACGATGGAGCGCAGCTTCCATAAGCAAGAGACATTCTTCTGAAACTGTGGGAACCGAGGTCATTGGATCACTCTCGTATTTTGTTTAAAATAAATGCTTCCAATTGTTTAAACTACGTCGCCCTATGATAGGACGAATAACAAATTTGAAAAGGAAGTGACTGTCTTAATTTAAGGTACTATCCATTTATTTTCCTGGAGTAGCTGAGGAAAACCACCAAGACGTCAGTCAGGTCTCCAGGTGTGAATTTATACCCGGAACCTCCCGATTACGAAACAGGATTGCTAATGGGAAAAATTTGTTTGCCCGGTGTTTTTACGTGTACGTTTTCTGACCTGATATCGCAAAGTTTTACATTAAAGTTATAAGCATTTGCAAAGTCACGTATTTTACAGTGTGGTTTTATGTAAGTGTTCTCATATACGACGTGTTGTTCTCGTAAATATCGTGTTGCAACGGAATCAATTACACTCTGACTGTTCCGGGCGACGCATTGGGCGAGAGCAGTTTCGAAGTACAGTGTGTTCCCTTTACGAGGGCGCACTCGCGTCGGGAGCCTCCTCCCGCCAAGTCCGGCCCGACCTTCCGCGAAAAATTTTGCTTTTCGCGGTTGCGTTGTCCGGAAAACACTCCGTAATTTCTCATTTAACTCGAACAGTAAGAAATGAGGGGGGTAGAGGAATAAAAAATGCTTTAGATCTTTAAGTTTGATTTGTGGGTTCCTCTGAAATGTCGGTAACCATTCGCGAGTCTACACGACTTCATAAAGCAGAACTCTCATCGTCGTGACGGCCTCAAACATTTGTTTCCGATTGCGTCCTCCTTCGTGCTCTATTTTACCCGTGAGCAGAATGTATCAGTCTGTTACATAAATGAAAAGTCTTGAGTCCGACCTGCCACACCTTCCTCCACACTACAATAGCTGTGAAGTCATCATGTGTAATGACTCTGTATTCGGTTGATACAGGACAGATGCTGATCAATTGGTTCGTGTCCGCCTTCCCCGAGGGCCACTACCTGCGTCTTCTCCTCACGTCGCAAGATTTGCGTATCTTGGCAATCCAATTCTGCACCCATCTCCTGGCCGCCGGGGTAGTCCGCCAGATACCTGACAAGGACGTCACGTTGGAGCACCTGTTCAGGGTGAGTAGTCAGTTGCATGACGGGAAATCGTGGGGTCTTCCCTCCCCCCCCCCGTCAATTCCGTCGCCGAAAGTTCTGAAAGGATATCTGATGAAATTTGGGGATTACAGTAAAAAAATAAATATTAAATCTGCATTCACGAGGGAATTAACAACATGAAGATTTAATGTCTTCTGGAACGTTTTCTTGTGTCCATCATCAGGTAAACATGTTTGAGGCCCAAAAAGACAGATTTGAAAGGACCTTCGCATGATGAGGTCTTATTCTGTGTCTGAGGCCCACTAGGGCACTCACTTCAATGTTCATTTGTTACAGCCAGACCTGATGTATTACTGGTCTCATGCAGAGGCTCCGACACCAGCTCCGTCCACACCCGGTCGCCTCTCATCCATTGCCTGGCCACCCACGAGTCCATTTGGATTCTCCATGGCCACAGAACTAGCCAGCGCAGCTGTAAATCGACCAGGGGCTCGATACTCAGAAGCAGGTGCGAGATGAATGAGTCACTCCGGGGTCCAGTCATGTGACAAATCAAATTTTGTTGAATTTTAAATTGACAAAGTCATTCAGGCCTTGGACTTGAATGGGGCTCTTTTTTATAAATCATGTTGGTCTTAATGTATATTTGTTCAGTTAAATAAGAAGTTTAAATGTCGCATCTGAAAGACATTTGAAAATATAAATTTCTTACGTATTTGCATAATGATACAAGAGAAATTCACCGATTCATTTAAAATTTTCCAACCCACTTTGTATTTTGGGTGCTTGTGGGTTATCGGGACACGTCGCTTTAAAAATAGGTTAGGTTCGGTTAATGTGTGTGGATAAATGACATATACTTGAAAGTAATTATATTTTATTTCAATAAATGACAAATTATTACATTTTATTTGGATATGCAGGTCCTGATATTCGACTCTCCCGTTTTGTGTCCCGACAACCAACAAGTACCGTATTTTGTTTCTTGTGCCCAGAACCCATACCTGGGGGGGGGGGGGGGGGGCTCTTCAGATATATTCCTCTGAGGCTGATTTCTGTTTTCAAAGACCTTATGAAATTGACATGAGTCCAACTACGAAGTGTTTGTATGGGATATGAGATCTCTTGGCAATCTTCTGGGTAGTAATGCCATCTCCGGGCTTGAAGACGGGAAGTCCACGTGGCATTACAATCCAGAAGACATGCGATGAGTCAAGATGATGACACTTGTCTTCTTTTGTGGCGATGCGTGATGACTCGATAGAAACTGCCGCGAAGGAGCCGGCCTCGATATCCCTCGCTTCACCGACTGATGTCAGGTCGCCGGTCAAGTCAGGAGGGGAGAAGCCAGGTGATCACTTTGCTGCACCTGCACTGGTTTTTGTTTACTAAACAACACTTGTTGCCTGATGCATTTTTTGTTGTTGTTGCACGTTCTCTTAATTTGCACTAATTGATTTATCCTTTTTGTTTAGTAGCGTCTGAACTGTGTAGTTTTGCGTAGTGTTGAATGAGATGGAACTGCGTTCATGATTAGCGAGTTGGCAAGGATCTGGAACTTGGTGATCGTAGTTTATTTGTCTGGAGATACTGAGTAAAACCCCAGTAAGGGTACCTGATACCATTGCTGAAATTCAGTCTGAAATATGAATCTAGTGAGATCTGACATATTTTTGTTGTTGCTCTGGGTTGTGACGCTGCTGACTTGTACATAGATAGATTTTTTTTTTTGATACATACTGCCTCCATCTTCAGGGTTATGCACAACCCAGAAGACCTACATCAACAGATTTAAAAGTGGTTTCATTATAACACCAGTTCAGTTTGTGGGCTTGGTCCATGTGCGTCGTCATATTTATTAGTCGCTTGTCGTGGACATTTGTTTCGCTAGACTGCAACTCTCGGCCATTTGTGTTATCCTGTACTAAATGTTTAATATGTGAACAATTAGAATCATGACATTTTTCATTAGCGTTGATTTAGAATTCTTGTCGCTAAGTAAATGTTGTGATCTGCTCCACAGAATTTCAACAAGTTGTTATGGGTCTGAAGCGAGAGCATCGGGATAATCTCAACAGGCTATCGCGAGACCAGGAAGTTTCTTTGTTCAACGTCAGGGGCGAACATGCCCAGCGACTTGATGACGCTGATGAGAAGATCGCTCGACTTGAGGATACGGTGGTTAAGCTGCAACAAGAGCTGGATCGGTACAAAACTCTGTCGGACATACAGGTAAGGCAGAACGGAATAAAGCATTTGGGATTATTTATTATTTATCTCTTCTTTACTGTCATTCTGTAACATGCAATCTGCATTTATTGATATTTTTGTTGTTGCGTTAGTGCTTAACAGAGAAGACAAAGGCTGACTTTGACTCACCAACAGAACAGAAAACTCTTCCCTCTGCAGACATCGTGGGTAGTGAGCTCGGCAGGAAAGGTCCAGAGCCAGTGAACACATCACAAACAAATGTGGAAGCTGCGCTGAAGGATGTGAAGCCAGACATTTCCATAGTAAATGAAGGACAGACAAAGTCAACAGCGACTGAGCCTTTGTCAGTGTGTGACAGGTCAACGGATACCGAAGATTTGCATGAAACTCCCTCCGTGATCTCAGCAGAACCAACAACGGAAAGAACGAGTCCCTTGAAAGAAGACGATACGTCAGTATCACATCCTGCCCCTCTTTCAGAATCACAACCAAATTCAAAAGGACCAGAACCTGTTCTACAGATGGTGCCCTCAACTTCTACGCTGCTTGAAATGCACAGTGTGAATGGCGAGGTAATAGCGTCTCCACAAAAGCTTATAACAGAGCCACCAAGCACAAAAACAAAAATGAGTGGACCACCCCCACCTCCACCTCCACCCCCAATGTCTGGGATGGAGCCGTTACTGCCTCCAATTTCTGAAATGGGGCCACCACCGCCTCCGATGCCTGGAATGGGTCCTCCACCACCACCCCCATTGCCTGGAATGGGTCCACCACCACCCCCATTGCCTGGAATGGGTCCACCACCACCCCCATTGCCTGGAATGGGTCCACCACCACCCCCATTGCCTGGAATGGGTCCACCACCACCCCCATTGCCTGGAATGGGTCCACCACCACCTCCCCCGATACCAGGAAGTGGAGGAATACCACCAGCATCAACTGCTTCTGTTGTCGGATCTCCACTGCCATTTCCCACACCACCCGCAGGAGGATGGATGGCAAACAGAGCTAGTAAGTAGAAAAAACTCAGACTTCCTTAATCTTCAGTGTTCTAAACCACAGACTGTCGTAGGATTTCAGTTCCTTGTGGCAGTGTGATTATAGACGGTGGTCTTCTTAGTTGTGGCATCATGTAGTAACCTGGCTGTATACCGTCATTTTGGAGAATCATTCTGTCTCCATCTTCAGAGCTGAAGTGAGGAGGGTCAGGAAATGATGTTTATATAGGTTACGAGGAAGATGAGGCCAGGGGGATTGACCAATCGGAGCCACAGGACATAGTAGCTCTTTCCTGTTGGTCCAGATATGGCTACGTGTTCCTCCCTTAACCAATGGTCTGATCTTTCTCCTAACCTTGTATAAGCCATGTTTCCTGTCTTCATTTCAGCCCTGAAGATGTAGACAGCATGCTACAGCCACGAGACTGCACAGCACAGGAACCTATAACAGGGCTGTCGGCTCAGTCACGATCTTTCAAAACAGAAGCAGTGCTAAAGGAACGCGGTTTTCCTTTGCGTATGTTGCAGAATTTGTGTTCATTCTGAAATGAGTGGCTTGCATTACGGTAAATGTTTTTAAGTCGTGTCGGTTTTGCAAGACTGGCACAGGACACGGATTGAGACTTGATTGTTATATTGTGCCCCAAAGATCTGAATTTGCGCGAAAGGAGAGGAAATGTCTGAATCTGCCGTGATGTTGTTACGTTTGGACACAGAGAAGTTGGGAACTATAGTTATAAAGAGTTGTTCTTAAATTCTCTCTGAACTGTCCTTAAGTATAATTTCTGAAGTTGAAAGATTCACAGAATAGCCTTTTTATATTATGTAGTAGAATTTAATCATAACGGAACTTTCAAACCGCTTTCATCACCAACTAGCATTCATTTAAAATTTATTATGCCATTGGGCTATCCTCGGCGGCAACGCGTTTCGTTCAATCTCGCACGATAGTTCATATCGTTCTAAAATATTGTATAGAGCCGGTTAGTATAGTCCCATGGGGCTGAAACACATGCGATAAATTGCAAAGAAGTGCTATTAGTATAGTCCCATGGGGCTGAAACACGTGCGATAAATTGCAAAGAAGTACTGGTTAGTGATAAAGGTGGTCGTAACGTTATGGTTACATTCAGTTGCGTTAATAGTTGAATTAATGCAAAACTTCATTCGTCATTAGCATACTTTTTCAATTAATCCAGTAGCAATTCCTTGAACTCCTAAAATAAATTTGTTTTTTAAATAATAGTGTAGTTTTTTCTAATTTTTATTTTGAATGTATATATTTTTTTTACTTTCAAGTATTTAAGTTAGTTTTTTTTTTATTTTCTTGCAACTTGTTAATTCTGACACCTGGTTTCTCACATTTTCGTCCCCTAACCTGACCTCGGTAGTGGCACCCGGACGTAGCACAGGTAAGAGGACTCGGCCGCTTCTGCTTCTACTGAGGTGAGCCTCACCTCGCTGCATGCTCGCTTTTCAGTAAAGGTGCTTGACTAACAAACAGATGGTGGAGACTCGGTAAGGTACTAAACACAAACTCGAAATATTTGAAAATTGCTGAATGTTAAGCAGTATTACCTTAGGTTGGTATTGCGGCTGTGTAGAAAGGGCATCACGTCTGAAGGGTGTACCAACATATCTGCATAATCTGATAATATTTGATCTGACAACGTAAAGTCGCGTGATGTACGTCATGCCAGAAGGGCGTAATAGCAAAGGCACTTGCATTTGGGCACATGCTCATTTGTCTAATCAAATAAGTGCAAGAATTTAGTTCTCTGTAAATTAGGAATTTAGTTTGTTAGACACCCTCTTGTCATGATGCCCTCAAAATGTGTGTATGATTTTTTTTTAAAAAAAATTAATTTAAAGTTAAAAATCACAACTCTTTCTTAAAATTGAGTTTCATAAATCAAATATTTGTTTTCTCGTATATCATAACGCTTATAGACTCGGCCTTTTGAATGTCTCTTACTTTTTACGTCATCGCCAGATAGACTGAGTCATGATAACATGGCTTCCGTCAAATATCTACAAATTGTTGACGCTGGAGTTGTGGTTTTTGGCGTCAGTTAAGTATTACAATTGTAATAATGTCTGGTGTTGCTAATTAACATTTTGAAACAGCCCAGTAAAAATTTGAGTATTTGATGCTAGATTTTAACTCTCGCTTCACTAATCATTGGCGCACAAATGCAGATTTAAAAGACACAAATGACATTAATATTGCTTATTAATACAATAATTTTTTTTTTTACCTGTTATGTGTGAACTACTTTTTATTTTCCTTGCTGTATTTGTAGGAATTTGTGTGTCATAAATTGCTAACTTGAGTGGAATGAGGAATGGGACTGAATCTTGTTTACTCTGTAAAAAAAAATTATTATTTTTTCGGAAAGTTTCAAATTGAATTGTGTTCCTAGTTACTCATTATGAAACCTCTTTGCACATTTTTGTTCTGCTGCTAATAATATAATATTGTCTCATGACTTGTACTTTATTATTCCTACTTGCAGAAAGATGTCTCTTGTCGTCTCCAACCGCATCTTTCATTTCGTAGGTTTGGATAAAATCTTGTCATTTAATCCGTCGAGATTTAAAGTTAACATAGGACACAGATCATTCATTATTTATGTGCTGTTAAACATTTGCCCAATGAAAAACATTTTTATGTAAAAGTTACAGACTATTGTGACTTTATATTCATGCGTATTGTTTTGAGAATGATTCCGAGAACGCGTCTTAAATGTTTAAGACAGATAATTAATTTATAAACAATTTGAAAAATTCAAGAAATTATAAGTTGCTATGTCACATGGCATTAACAGGAACATA